TGTGTGCTATGAATCACAAAAGACGGAGGTGCAGGCATCAAAGGAAGGAGTTGGTGGGCCATTTCTGATTGATGTTGGCCACCATTAGGATAGATACTTTACTAATGGGTAAAGAAATATAACTTTGACTCTTCCCCTTTCTTTCCATAGCATACTTAGTATAGATCATTAGATTAAAAACTTACACAAATTAAGAACTGTTAGTTCCAGCTTTTAAAGTAACGTAAGCTTGACTGTTTGAATACTTTGCTTTTCCTTGTGGTTACTTGCCCTCTGCAAATTTCACTGACTCTTAGTGACAGAGACAAGGTGACAGACATCTAGGGATGTAACTAAAACCGTGGCTGCGTCCTCTCTCTTCTGGCTGGAGCAACACCTACTTGGGGACAACCCATGAAAATGAGTTCGGTCCACTGACCAATGGGAGCTGGCAGGAGTCCTGTGCGGATCCAGTTAGTCCTAGGCTGGCCACCTCAGTACAGTAGGTGATGGAGGGGCACCTCCTTCTGGCGTTTGCCTGGTTGCCCATGCTCTGTTCATTTCTTCCCTCCTGAGTCCCGTGGGAATCAAATTCAACATGAATTAACACCTAGTTCAGAAGAGAAGCCTTTGGGTCTGTTCATGGCTCCAGAGCGCCTGTTATTTATGTATTTCCTGGCTAAGTATGAACAATGTATATTTTAAAAATCTGTCCTCGCTCTCACTGTGAACTGCTTTTGTTTGGTTCAGTTTCTCTGGCCTGGTTCATAACATAACTTTTTTTTTGTTTCTTTCTTTCTTTTTTTTTTAATCTTCAAAATCATTGAATCATCTGTGCTGTGGTCAAGATTCACAAAAACTCCTTTGATTAAATTTCTCATTCATCTATACAGCACCCATGCTTTTGTATTTTGGGAATATTTTTAGAAACCTAATGAGGCGGAAGGGTTTGTTTCACTCCCCTCCATTCCCTCTGCTCAGACACCTGCGTTCGCCGATAATTACCACTCCCGTGGTTCACATTTTTGCTTTCTCTGTCTGTTGTGCAGTGTTTTAAAACAATGTTGGGGGAAAGCTGGGTGCGGGGGCACATATCTGCGCTGGGAAAAACAGTTGATTTTTTTTTTTCACAGTAGTTCAGCAGAAGATGCCTCTAAGAGTAAAGCTCTTTGAGGATCATTTTAAGGACAGTGTTTTCTGTTCATCTTTTTCTGTCACCCTTGCCTTTATAGCCCACCTCCTTTGGTCATCTTACTCTTATTAAAAAAAAAAAAAGAATGCTATTTGTGACTCCCGCTTTTTTTTTTTTTTTCAGAAGTAGAAAATTGTTTTGTGTGACATCTCTTGACAGTAGTCTCTGGAAGGGTCAAACCAGTGTGAGCAAGTGGGTGACAGTCACCACAGTGTTTAAAAAGCATTTATTCATGAAAGGCATTTCGAAGAGAATATATTCTCTTGTCTAGAGGGTTATCCCATTTGCCTTTATTTTTAGCTAAAGTTTTCACTGAACTGTAACAATCCATGCAGAAAAGTATAAAAAACTTAATGTAGGGCTGACCGAACCTTCTCAAACTGGTGGGATCTCTGTGACCAGCATCCAGACGGAGAAACAGAACATCATTCACGCTTCAGAAACCCCGCTCCTGTCCCACAGAGCTATGGCACCGTCAGGCCGGCTCTGCTTGCTCTTGCAACAGGGAGGGAAACTGGATCCATTCTAGACTCACTTCTGTCTCCGTGTGCCCTTGTTGTTCGTTCTTGATGCTGTTAGAATTGTCTGATTATGTGAAAATGTGTCCATTCTATCACTGGTAAAAGTAGGGTGCCCCCGCCTGGAGCGGGGGGCGTTGCTGATTAGCGCTGCTGTGAGTGTTCCTGTACATTGCTTTGGTGGCTACACAAGCACATACCTAGAAATAGTTGTTAGCCACAGGTTCACCTGTGTTCCTCCAAACACGGCTCACAGGTGGTTGTGCTGGTGACATTTCCTCCAATAGCACCTGAGTGTTTCCGTGGCCCGGCGTCCGTGGTTGTTACTGTCCGTCTGTTTTCTTCTCAGCCAGTCTAGTCGCTGTTTAATAATAGCTTGTGATTTTTGCTTTGCCCAACCTTGCATTAGTAAAGATATTGGTGGTCTTTTTGAGAATTACTGAGCCTGAGTACAGTGGTTTAAGAAATATTTTAATCTCAGCTGTGCTTTTTAGTCGTTTAAATCCCAGCCAGAACAACAACAACAGACTCAGAGGTGAGATTTGCCGTGTCTACGGAGTCGTGGTGTGCACTTCTAGGCTCATGGATCTCTGGAGCTCTATCCTAGTTTTCTCATCAGTAGATTTGTGATGTTGTTTGGGGTATGTAAGAGCACATATACATGAGGGATGGAGAGATGGCTCGGGAATTAAGAGCGTTTACTGTTCTTCCAGAGGACCTGAGATCGGTCTCAGCACCCTTGTCAGGTGGATCACAAATGCCTGTTACCTCCACCTCCAGGGATCTGATATCTTTTGGTTTCCTCATGTTCCATGTGGCAAACAAAAATTAAAAAAAAACTTTAAAAATGAACATATATACAATTATCGATTCATTCTTTCTACAAATCTTCCATCCCGCACTGGAGTAAGAATGCTGGACCTGGTGGAGGATGCAGAGGTGAAGGAGACAGTCCTGATCTCAGCAGGCTCGGGGGCATGTGTGAGGCCGTAAGGAGGCTGGGGTGGGGGTGGGATAATGCTGAAATGAGGCTCAGGAGATGTGCCCTCGACATCCTAGAAAGGGAGAATGCAGGGGCTTCTCGTAAGCACTCAGGAAATGTGTGCCCTAGGCAACTGAGGAAGGGAGGATGCAGGAACATCTATCTGATAAGCCCTCAGGATATGTGCCCTCAGCTCCTGAGGAAGGCAGGATGCAGGAGCATCTGATAAGCCCTCAGGAGATGTGCCCTCGGCATCCTAGGAAGGGAGGATGCAGGAGCATCTCGTAAGTACTGGCATGCCTTTGCATCTGATTGTCATACAGTTTTTTAAGTGTAAGGTGGAAGGGAGGAGTTTCACTGAAGTCTCACCCACTCAGGGGTAGCAACTGCAGGGTGACTATTGTGTGTAGGGGGGTCTAGAGGAGGAAAATGGCAGAGTATGGCGTGAATTCTTTTCGTGTGTGTGTGTTTATATGTTTATGAGTGTGTATATGTGTGTGTGCGAGGGTGTTTATATATGTGAGTATGTGTATGTGTGAGTATGTTTGTATGTTTGTGTGTGTGTATGTGTGTGTGTGTTTATGAGTGTGTGAGTGTGTGTTTGTGAGTGTGTGAGTGTGTGTTTGTGAGTGTGTGAGTGTGTGTGTGTAGACCAGAGATTGATATGGCTGTCTTCCTCCATCACTTTCTCCCCCGTCCTGTACTGAGGCAGGTCTTTTGCTTGAACCCAGATCTTACTGACTTGTCGAGTCTAACTACCCAGTGTGTCCTGGCAGCCTCCTGTCCTGACCTCTGGGCTTGCAAGCCGGCCACCAGGCTTGTCTGGTGTTTGTGGGTGCTGAGACTCTGACTGCAGGTACTCACACTTGCATGGCAAGCACTTTGCTCACTGAGCCATCTCAGTAACCCTGGGGAAATAATGTTTAAATTTCTTTTCATTTTTAAGATTATAATACGACTATACCATTTCTCTTCTCCTTTCCCTCCCTCCAAGTCCTCCCATTACTCCTTCTTACCCTTTCTCAAGTTCTTGGCCTCTTTTTTCATTAGTTTTTTTGCTACATCCATAAATACAACTTGCTCAGTCTGTGTAATTAAAAAAAATAGAATCAAAAATCTCATTAGAAGAAACAATCACAATACACGAATGCAACTTTTCGCTCTCCCCTTAGCTGAGAGTCGGCCTATGTGTTGACGGACAGTGGGTAAGTGTGTGGAGTGGCAGCCTGCTCTGGGCTGGCAGTGGATCATGTGCCTCGGGCCTCAAGGAGGATCATCTGAAATTTTTTGGCAAGTCGTAGATGCGCATCCTGCTGACTCAGCAGTTCCACTTGTGTAAATGTGCCTTACACCTGTGCTGCGCATGATCCAAGGCTGTGAGAGCAGAGACAGGAGACAGCGGAATGTGGTGAACAGGGAAGTAGTGGTCTGTTCCCGTGATGGCCTCCCATACAGCTCACTATCGCTTGAGACGGTTTCTAGTCTCATGCCTATCCTTATGGTTCAATCCCAAGAAAGTGGGGAACAGTGCATTGCGGGCTGCATTGACTTAAAAGCTGGGAGAGTTGTAATTTTTTCATCTGAAAGAAAACAGAGATGGCATTGGTTATATTAATCTTTGCCTGAGAGGAGGAGGTGGCTGGAGGGCAGGGGTCTGGGTGGGGTGTTGTCTTTTTATAGCTGTAGGGTTTTGAACTGCGTGAGTGAAATCCTAGCCCTCTCTGCAAAGAAGGGATGGGATTGCGCAGGTTTGGAATGGTAGTCAAACAGCGAAACCGCTAGCCTTTACAACCTTCACCCGTGTGCGTTCTGTCTGTCTCTCCACAGTAACCAGATAAAGCAACATTTTTTTTTTTCCTGCTTTTCAGAGAAGTAAGCTTGGATACAATTATTAAAACAATTCCCATGAAATCATTCAGTGGCTGATATTATAATTGAGAGTGTTAAATGGACAGTTCACGAGGTGACTTCGTTTAACGTGTGCATATTAAAGAATGCAAGGCAAAACTCTCGAGCACGCTTTAGGTCAAATGAACTCATAACAAATGATAGTAGTGACCGGAGGTTTGTCACGGATTTTCTCAGATCGAGGTCTGCTCACTGCCACAGCCCACTCTGAGCTCTTCAGCCTTCATTAGGGCTTGGTTTCACACTTACTACAATCACTGAGTGGTTTTTTTTTTTTTTTTTCTTACTTCAGTGTGGATGTGGATGGGAGCAGGGAGTCTGCTTAGAACTCTGATCTTTATTGATGGGAAAAGGAGATAACTGGATTTCTTTCTCAAACTTTAGAGGGGTGACCATTTGTTTTTTCCTTTTTCCTTTTCAGGTCTGCCCTGTCTCAGCAAAGACCAAGAGATTAGTGCAACACTGATACCCTTCCCCGCTTCAGAAGCACCGAGCTTATTCAGGTAGAGTCACTGGAACTTTCTAGAATGCTTTGATGGCAGTTCTACTGACTTGATATTTGACCTTGACAGCACTGGCAAAGCAGATACAATGTAATTAATCTCGGTTATACTAATGAGCAACCATAGTTGTGGGAGTGGAGAGGTGCAGCTTACCGCTTTCCCTGGTGAAACAGATCATGGGCCAGGGACTGGAAATGGGAAACAGACGACCACCATGAGGAGAGAGGGATGCTTGAAGGCCAGGAAAATTAAGAGGAGAAAAGTTAGATTTTTCCTTATAAAGAAGCAAAATAGTGCATCTTCGTTGAAGAGAGCATTTTTATTCCTGTCGGGAAACTCTGTAAGTAGTTTGCAGACAGATGCGAAGACCCCAAAGGGCAAGGAAAGTCCAGATTTCAGGGACAGGCAGAGTATCTGAAAGTTTTAGGTCTAACCGCGAGCCTTGCTTTATAAACGGACGGCTTGCCTTCAGAGGGAGCTTGTGTGTCGGTGCCTTCCTGCGGGATTGCGGTTGTGAGACCTGGACTAGCAGGTGCTGTGGTTTTGTCCTTCAGCATTCATGGGTTCATCAGAGGAGCAGGTGGGGAATAAAGCCAGGGTGGAGAAAACCAATGGATTGTGTTTTAAAACTTAGCTGTATTCTAGTCTGACGGGCTTGATGGTTTAGGGAACAAAACAATTCTGTCTGCTGCCTGTTGCCCAGATGTTGCTACATCTGGAAAGAACAGAAAAGGATTGGTGAGCTGGGGGTGTGGCGGGGCCAGTGATCTGCCTGGGGCAGGCTCAACAGTGCCTCCCTTCCAGGGAGGTTTTACTGAAGCCTTGAGACCCAGTGTGTGACCCCATAAAGTAGGCTCCCGTGTGACGATGGGAGCCACCCCCCAGCTTCACATCCAGGTGTTGACTGTGGTTCTCTCTTACCCTGGGAGGACCAGAAAGTGTTTATCATGGAGGCTGTTCCTGGTCTTGGTCGAAATGGACATATTAGTGATCTGGAATGTGAAGTGGGCATTGCGCTCTGACAGTTAGCAGGTGGCGCAGTCAGTGGGTAAGCTGGAGGCTGTTGGGAAACTGCCTGTCATAGATACAGGTGCAGGATTTCTTAGTAGGCTCAGGAACTGGTTAGAGTGGAAATGCTCAGCAGTGGACATGCTAAGTGAGCTGTGGTTGTATGTTTAAAGAACATCCATTCTGTAAACATTCATCGTGTGCCATGATTTCAGTGCTCTGCCCCCTGTAGGTCCTAGGAATGTAACAGGGGCGTGTGGCCTTCACGTTATAAATGAATAGCTCTGTGTGTCAGGTCTATAAATGCTATGGAGGACGTTAGAGCAGAGATGAGAAACTTGGGGGCATGGATAGGGGACCAAGAGTTGGCATTCAGTTTTAATTAGGACGGTCAAAGGGGCCCGTTTCCGCAGAGATCTGAAGAGACCAATCACAAGTCTCAGAAATGTCTGATTATTTGGTAGAGGAAATAAAACATGTGAAGGCCCCAAGGCCACTCCGAAGGCCTGTACTCCAGTCCAAAGCCAGGGAGAGTGACCAGAACAGAAGGTCTGTAAGGACAGAAACTTCTGTCTCATCGACGAACACAGTGTCCCCAACATGACATCTCAGGGCTTAGTATATTTTTATTGATGAAATACACAAATCCCCAAATGACACAGAAATAGGAGAACCCATTCTCATCATGGGAAAATGCTAGGCTTTTTTTGCCTTATTGATAGTGATCGTCACCTGGGAAATTTGCTACTGGCTTTAAGAATATAAATATAAATAAGAATTATAACAGTGCTTTAATTAAAAATAACTTGTTGGAAGCCTTCTTTATGCCAGGCATTGTTAAATGTTGACAGTGTATACACAGTCTACAATACCCCTGCTCCACTAGGCATTCTGTGTATAAGACACACAGTAGAACTTTAGATCACTTTTCCTCACCTGCTGTGTGGCCACACCCTCCTGTCTCTCCGCAGATCCAGCCCTTAGCACCACAGCTGGGAGGTGCAGTGAGACCCAGTTACCAGAGTTCTTGCCAAAGACCCTTCACAGTGTCTTTTGCCCTTATAAGTCTTCTTTTAAAAATTAATTTGTTAATTTAGAGATAGTGTCTCACTGTGCAGCTCTGCTAACCTGGAACTCTCTAAGGCGAGGCTAACCTTGAACTCACAGAGAGCCACCTGCCTCAGCTTTCGCAGTGCTGGAATCAAGTGTTGGCCTACCACACCTGACTCTACCTCTGGAACTTTTAGAAACATGCTTTGGTCATTATGTTCCTGCTAAAATCTTTCAGTTTTGAGACACAGAATGATTTTTTTAAAAAATGTGCGTGGGTGTTTGCCTATGTGTATGTCTGTATATCATATGTGTGCCTGGTGCCTACAGAGCCAGGAGGTGCCAGATCCCTTGGAACTGTAGTTACAGGTGGTTGTGAGCTGACTTGTGAGTTCTGGGAATCAAATCCGTTCCCCATCCCCCCCCTCCCCGCCTCTTTTCCAGGGCCTTCTTGTGTTACAACATAGCAGAGAACTTTACCTAGCAAGTCAGGGCATGCATAGTACGTCTGTTTCCTTTTCATATGTGGTCATTAATATTTTTTTCACCTCCTCAAATCCATTACCTTTCTGTAGTCTACCTGCACAGAGCAGTGACGTGAATTTCTAGATTGTTCCCAGCACATTCAAACTGTAACTGGTCTCGCTTTTGGTTCTCTGTACTGTGCTATTGGGTGGACTTTATTATTATTGTTTCTTTATGTTGGTGAGAGGCCGGGCAGGGCGGGGGGCAGGAATCACCATCCCTATGTCTGTTCCTCTGTCAGTTGTTTTCCCGCCGCTGTGATGAGACACCATGACGGAGGAAGCTGGGCCGGTGGTTCCCTAGAAAAGAGCTTCCGCCATGGCCAGCAAGCATGGCAGCAGGTGGTAGGTATGGGGCAGGAGCGGGGAGCTGAGGGCATGCATCTTTTACTGCGAACATGAAGCAGAGAACACACTGGAAGTAGGGCAAGGCTCTGCGTTCTCAAAAGGCCACCTCCCATGACGTGCTCTGCACCCCTAGACTTCTCCAAAGAGTGCCACCAGCCGGAGACCAAGTGTTCCAATGCCTGAGCCTTTTGGGGATATCCAAACTCCCACAGTTCTTTCTCATGGCTGTGGTAAAACACATGACAGAAGTAGCATAAGGGCAGGGCTTGTTTGGGGGCTCAGAGGAATTCACGGAGAAGGCGGCACGGTGGTGGGAGTATGAACTTGTTCACATTTCATCTAACCGGGAATCAGAGAGCTCGAGCCTGGACTCAGAGGCAGGTATAACCTTCAAAGTCTTCTTCCCCAGCCCCACATCCCAGAGGATGCCTGACTGCCTAAAATAGTGTCACCAAGCTGGAGACCAGCTGCTCAAACTCCGCCCAGTGGGGGGCACATTTCACGTTCAAACCACAGCGCACCCTCTAGTTTCTTTGTGGTTTTGTGTCTTTGTCTTCATTGTTGAGCTATGTGAGGACCTGGCCAGAAGTACTGAGTTCACAGAATTGGAGTGGAGAGAGAGTTCCCGCCTGTCTAACTAATTGTTTTGCAGCTGATTTACCCAGGCTGAGTGTGTCTCTAGTGTGGGCTTATGCGCATTCCAGGCATGTAAATGGTTCTCGGCTTATGAGTAACTATAATGTCTCCTTCATTACCCAGATTGTTTAGAGCTATTTCGGTTTGATGACTTACCTTGGGACTCGATGTCCTTATGGAGGAAGGATAAAAAGGTAACTGTCTCTGGGTGAAAATAATAGCTTCCTGTCTAAAGATTCTTTAACTTGAGTAATGATAATAACGATAAACCCGAGCGTTTGGATAGACAGGTTGTTCAGCAGAGCAGTATGTGGATTCCTGGGGCTCAGGAATGCGCTTCACCTGCGTCATTGTGTATTTGAGCATTGTTGTTAATTCCTTTCCCATGAAACCTGTGGTTTGGGATGAAGCAGAGTGCAATCAACACTGTGAACGCGGAAGACAGGCGCTCTGGGAAGGGAAAATTCATGCATCTGTCTGAGCCTTCCTGTCCCCTCACCCCTCTCTGAGTGTGGTCAGCAGCGGAGCAAGCACCCTGGACAGTTTTTCTTTCTTGGCTCTTACGCTGATTAGCATGAAGATTATTTTCTTCATGAGATTTTTGTCTCCAGCCTGGATACCTGCCGTGGTCTAGGTTGCACCATGGGACATTTAAGGTGTGTCAGGTAGCCCTGGCTGTGTTTTACATGACGTCTCACAGCCTTGGTCTAAAGTGACTTGGTATTTTCTTTCCTTCACCCATTCCATCCATCTTTGCGTTTGCTCATTTAGCATTTATTGAGTATTTGTAATGTATTAGGACCGAAGCAGGCAGTGAGTGGGGTCAATCCCAGCACGCCTCCACAAAATATATTCCGTGACTCTGATGCAAGCTTGCTGTTTCCTAATGTGCTTAACTCTGTTTTATTCCCTTCTGAGAACCCATTTGGTTTTCATACTGAGAGACACAGCAAGCACTTGCTAGCAAATATCCATTTAGGAGGAGTATTAAGAGCTTGGCCATCATTCAGCAGACACTCAGTACTTTAACAGGAGACATTTAAACTCAACTTCTGAGCAGCCTTTCCTGCAGAGATGGAAAGAAGAACCTGCTGGCATCGTTTTCCTGTAAAAAAGCATGGGGAGGAGTCATTTGGTTTGGAAAGATAGGTGCTAGCTCCCCACAGAGCTGGCAAGGGCTGGATCTCAGGAATGCAGTCCTAGATGGTCGCCCTGGCAATTGGAGAGCAGAAGGGAAAGTGCTCCAGGGGCATGGTGTCTAGAAAGGCCAGAGTCGTTTAGGTGAGTGGCGGAAAGGGGCGCGAGGTTGCTGTGTTCTTGTTTACAGCGTCATCTAATGACCGTGTGCTGTCAGGGCCCGGGAATCCTGGCATGAGCTGGCTTTATTCTTCCTCGTGTAGTTGTAATGCCCAGACTGCAGAACATGGTAGGATT